AGATAGATACTTTATTTATGCCGAGGGACATTCAAGTATTCCTAAGGAAGCCTTCAGATCATAAAAACTTTATTTAATCAGAAAGTGGACAGATTAAATCAGTGAAACAAGACACTAAAACTAAAATATGTTTGTATGTTGATTGTGAAAGAATATGTTCACAATATCCACATTTATATAATTAAAGCTTTTATATGTGACTGTCATTAAACTGTAGCTAACAGCGCCACCAGTGGCCGTTCACTGAACTGCAGTCAGCGTCCTGTTGACTGAACGTTGTAAAATAACTGACAATCATATTTAGAATAATGTTATTATCTGCAGTGTTCCAATATTTTATTTGGACCGTTAGCTTTATGCTACTAACTAGCTCGCCATTTACAAATCACCCATCAGCCAACACCACGAAGCAACCAACGCCAGACCCACACCGTGCAGCCTAGATACAGTCAGCCGGACTTCAGAATCTTAAATATGGAACCTTATTGTGTTTATTATCATCCAGTTTTTAATCCATTCATAAAAACATGTTTTAATTATCCAACACAGATGAAAAATGACATCCCATTTAGTCTCTTTAGACATTTCCGCTGTCACTGTTTCCGACTTTAATGCTTGTTTAAACATTATTCTTGTATTCCTAATTATCACAGCATGTGTTAATCAACGTTCACAGTTATGATTAATGTTCACTGGCTCTGATAATAAAGACCAGGCGCCTCCACTGGGGTCCACACATGAATACAAACACTGTTTTCTTCTTTCTGTCTCAGTTCTGTTGACGGATGTTTGACACACTTCTGGTTCCTACGGGATTAAAGCTGCATTGATTTATGGGCTCTATAATCATCTAAGAAACAATTGAGGTTGCTGTCATCAGTCAAGAGTTTGCTGCAGATTTGTTTTCATTATTCTGCTTTTCAGTCTTAATATACGTCGGCTTAGTTAATGATTGTTTTAGAGGGTTTAATTTTTTAATGCAGCGTGTGGAGTTGTTTGTTTAAATATGTGTCGGGTTTGTGTGCGGACGCTGCGTAGTGCTCTATGACGAGTAATTGCTTACAAACAGTGAACAAAGCTCATGTAAGGAAACATAAAATGTATATCACATTCATTTGTAATTATTCCAGCAATGTCACAGCAATATGTTTCTATAACAGCGTATATCCATCAGCCGACTTTATTAACCTGCATTTAAATATAATGTAAGTGATGTCCTCTGCTGTAATCTGGGTTCATATTGTAACAGTCACTTAAAGGTCCAGTGTGACATATAATTCAGTAGGAAAGTAGTTTCAGTTGAAAATGAAACATAATAAAATACCCCGCCACCAAACAGGATAAACTCTGCTGAGCTATTTTCTGCTAAAATGCCTGAAAATAAAGAAAATAGTCCAGAAGCTGGTTGTGCTCTCGTGGCGCAAAACCTCCTGTAAATGATAAATATTCTGTTTTCAGCCAGAGAGAAATCACTGAGGATCTCGTCAGAGGCTATAAATAATGAAATACCTCTAATGAAAAATCCTAGATTACAGTCGTGCCTGGATTACGAGCTCTGGCTCGCGTTGAAATGAGCGTAAACGTCTGGCTGCCAACTCAATTAGTGAGATCAAACCTTTGGGGACGGAGCTAATTACTTGGCCAGAGTGCATTTTTGGCTGCTGTTGAAAGTTATCCATTTCTGTGATGAGTCTCCAAACCAAACCAAACTACAAAGCATAAATAAGACACAGAGGAAAGTGTGTGTGTGTGTGTGTGTGTGTGTGTGTGTGTCCAAATATATTTTATTATACTTACTGATAAAATTTCAAAGTAATGTCCATTTTGTGACTTTTATATTTAGCTTTAATGAACCTGGACGTACGAGACAGAATGATGTAATTCATGTAAAAAAGGGAGAGTAAAGGAGCACACTCATTTCAGCCTCCTGATGGACAGAACGTTTAGAGGTGTAACACGCGGGAACGAGAGAAGGAAGAGGTTAATGAGTTCGTCTGAGCGTCTGACAGGAGGAAGATGGTGTTACAGCACTTCATTTTAATTCAGTTTTCTGACTCTGTGGGAAAAACTTGAGTGTCACAAACATCCTGAAATGACTCATTCGGTCCAATTACATTAACGAAGTCTAGAAGATGTGCGATTGAATTATATTATCCAATAAAGTGTTCGAGGACTCTCCACTGAGCATGCTCTATGCAGCCTATTAACGCAAATTCTGCCCGATCTCGCAATTTTATCCAATCAGAGCAAAATGTTTAACCATTCGTCATAAAACTGCTCACGATTTTATTCCATCTGCAACAACATGTCTTCAGTGTTTCATTAATTAAACAGAAAATGTCTAAAAACATCGCAATTTTACAGAAAAGCTGCTGTAAAATCATTTTAGGCCCCAACAAGCACAAAAAAGCCCACAGAATCCCGGAAGGACTGTTTATGGACCCAAATCTATTTTATTTTGTGGCATCGACACTATTGACCCTAATATTGATACTGAAAACAAGACTTTTTATCGGTAGAATCAATACTTTGTGGATCAATCCGTCCACCTCTCAAAGGCTTTTTCTGACAGCCAGTCAGTATAAAGGTTAGCGATAATTATGCTAACGAGTCGCTGACATGCTGAAGAGAAAGTCGGAGGCTTACGGCCAAAATCCACCAGGTGTGTTCGCAACGTCTGTCCGCTCTGTGGAGAATACGCAGCTAGCCTATTTTTGACTGACAGGAAGTCAGACATGGATCAGTAGGTAAATTTTCAAATTAAAATACCCTGTAATTATGACTTTTTGTAAAACATTTAGAAATGTTGTCTTTTGTCTCTACTTTTTTATCTGTCTTGACTAGAGCATGAACCTTTTTGTACTTTTTGTCTTACTCTTTTTTGGAAGAATTGGGCTTCCATACCCTGTTTGTTGTGTGAATTCAAAATAAAATACCCTGCGCATATCAAAAAAGTGTAAAATAACAATAACAAAAACGACCCAAAAAAACGTCGGCAGGCGAAGACGCTCTCTGTGGATGGCTCCTGATGGCCACACATTGTGGACTCGAAGGTCCCTCAGTCAGTATCTTCCCCTCACTAAGACCTAATGTGCACATTGAACAGAAACTTCAGGAACCAATAAGTAGTAAGCTGATGTTGGAAATGATGAATGTGAGAGAGAAAAAGGAAAACAGGCCAAAAAGCAAGAAAGCAAACAGAGGCGAGCAAGGTCTTTGGAGCTAAATTGGTATTTGATGATGATTAATGCAGCAGAGATTTCACTGCACAGATGCCAAAAAGTCGAGATACTCAAATAAAGTCTGTGATCTTCCAGTCGGAGCAACAACAATCTGACTTTTGGAAAGTTTTACAGTAAGAGAGTTAAAGGTCTCAGATGCTACTTTAATAAACTGAATCATAATTCCTATAAAACCACATTTTCTCAAGATTCCTGTGAACCTGACAAGCACTTAATTAACTTATTGTAATGATTCTGATGATTTATTCCAGTGAATTTATTCAGTTATTCTAATTCTGTGACCCCTTTGATAAACCTTCCTCAGAGAGTTCGTCTCAGTTATATAATGAAGACTGAAGCAGCAAACGTCCTCCTACGGAAGTCCAGTGAAATAAAACAATAAGAAGAAAATAATATATAAATAATCATAATAAAAATATCCCCATGGTAAGTCATAAGTCAGTTTTTTCTCAAAATTTTTATTTCATAATTCTTCATTTTTATTTTATAATTTAATTTTTTA